CCTTCTCTTCCCTAGACCAGCCATGCCCAGTTCCTGCAACCATTCTTCATATGTTTTAATCTCCAGGCCTTTAATCATCTTAGTTGCTCTTCTTTGCATTTTTCCCTCAAAAGAAGTATAGTTATATGCTTCTTTTTTGCAAATCAGCTCAACTGTCTCTCAAAGCTAGGATATGGGTAACATGTGGTGGTAAGGAGACCACCAACAAATAAGGACCCCAAATCATAAATAGCCTGTTGCCAATACCAAGGAATGAGGATCAAGATTAATGTAGCAACATATCCAGAGTTTTAAGAGATTAATTGGAAGGGGACCTTGCAGGTCATCTAGTCCAACCCTCTGCCCAAGCAGGAGACCCTACACCATTTCTGATAGATGGCAGTCCAGTCTCTTCTTGAAAGCCTCCAGTGATGGAGCTCCCACAACTTCTCTTCTCTTCTCTAACAGTTAAATTTAGAGAGTTGGAAGGGACCTTGTAGGTCATCTAGTCCAACCCCCACACAAGCAGGAGACCCTACACCATTTCTGATAGATGGCAGTCCAGTCTCTTCCTGAAAGCCTCCAGTGATGAAGCTCCCACAACTTCTGAAGGCAACTTCTGTTCCATGGGTTGATTGTTCTCACTGTCAGAACATTTCTCCTTATTTCTAGGTTGAATCTCTCCTTGATCAGTTTACATCCATTATTCCTTGTCTGGCCTCCAGGTGGCTTGGAAAATAGCTTGACTCCTTCCCCTCTGTGGCAGCCCCTCAAATATTGGAACACTGCTATGATGTGTCCCATGGTCCTTCACTATACTTGACCTTCTAAAGAGCAGTCAAGGTTGATCTCCTCTAGGACTGACCAGTTTAATGCCTTGCAGTCCAAGGGACTCGCAGGAGTCTTCTCTGGCACCATAGTTCAAAGGCCTCCACTCTTTGGCATTCAGCTTTCCTTATGGTCCAACTTTCACAGCCATCCATTGCAACTGGGAAAACCAAAGCCTTGACTAGATGCACTTTTGTTGGCAGGGTGATGTATCTGTTTTTTAGTATGCTGTCTAGATTTGTGATAGCTTTTCTCCCCAGGAGCAAGCCTCTTTTAATTTCTTGGCTACAGTCATCTGTGGTGATCTTGTAGCCCCTTCACCATGACAAAGCAGTAATCCATGAAGGGGTTCACTAGACTAGCCGTGCCCAGATCCTGTAACCATTCTTCATATGTTTTAGTCTCCAATCTAAGTCTTGAGTCTCACCATCTTTTTTGTAGTGTATCTTGTCCAGCCCCCTGCTCAAACAGGAGACCCTAAACCATTCCATACAAGTGGCTGTCCAGTCTATTCTTTATAAGCCTCCAGTGATGGAAGACCCACAACTTCTGGTCTATGACCTTAATGAGGATTTGATTTGATCTGAATTGAATTAGCATGTAATTGAATCACATTTAATTTTGTAAACGGCAGTTTAGGTCTCAGCATGTTGTGTTCATATAGCCAATGTGAGTCATATCGTGGGTTTTGAGTTCTGCAAGAAATAATGGTTCTAGTATACCACTAAGATTATCATCTATGGATCTGAGTACAGTGTAGTTTACACTTAGCTTATTCATATTTGCTTCAAGATGGGACACCAAATTATAACTGTGATCTCACAACTGCAAACCTCACATCTCTTGACTGGCACCTTCTGTTCATTGGCTGTAATACTGCAGAAGGCCATTATAACACTTTTTTGCTAGAAGTCAATAGAGCTATTAAACTACAAGCACCATTAATAACCCCAAAGCCCCCCCCGCCAAATAACCCATAACAATAAGAAAGCTTCAATCCAAAAAAAAAAAAATCTCTTTGGCGAGAAAACAAAACAGGCTACCTAGCTAAGCTCACCAACGTGCCTACCGTCCCTGTCCTATTCTCTCCATTTATTTGTACTCATTTCCTTTGTGCATGTCCATGCTCAAACGTACACCTGTTATCTTGTACATGTTTGACAAAATAAATAAAAGGTGGGGAAAGAACTTGCAGTTAAGAAAGTCTAAAAAGTTTGAAGAGGATGAGAAGCAATTGCTATAGATGGAGAGGTCAAGGGGATGTGCAGTGCAGAAAGATTTTGTGTCATCCTGCTAAGTTTTAATTTAATTTGAAGTATTTGTCAGAATAACATCAAAGGAGAAAGTGGCTCCTGTGACTTTCTCATAGCTGGAGCCTGGTGTTCTTACACTTATTTAACAATGAGATAGTCAAAGGTTGAACGCGAACAAGCTGACTTAAACCCCAAGAGTTTGATTATGTGCCCTTTTCCAATAAGACTCATCACTAAGGGAAAGCCCTGCCTTTGAGAAATGGTTTGGTTTTGATGCCGAATTTTAGAAAGCTGATTGTGTCCAGCTTGAATCTTCTCCTTGAACTTCATCCGGACACACAGACTTGCATTTGCACACTTATCCTTTGATTAACAATTTTCTGGGTTACATTTCCGACTGTTTTTTATCTCTCCTGCAGCATCTTTCTGATTTTTTTTCCGCCTCTTTTGCAGATGGTTTGACAGACTGCGTCGATCCTGATTGCTGTCAGCAGAGTAATTGCTTCTCCAGCCCTCTCTGCCAAGGCTCCCCTGACCCGCTGGACCTCATTCAGCAAAGTCAACCTCCTTTCTTGCAGCACTCACCAAGGCTCTTTTATGATAGAATCAAGTTCCTGATTGGCAAGGAGAGCACTCATGTCATTCAAGGCGATGTCTTATTTGAAAGCAGGTAAGTCTCCCTCCCTCCCTCCCTTCTTCTCTCCCTCTTATATCACTCTGACTATTAGCCATTTGTTTTTCTGGTTCCCTAAATGGTACAGTTGATCCAGCGATGAGATTCACTTATACCTTCCCTACAGGTTCTCAAAGATGAACATGCATGCAGTGCTCACACGTTACATCGGTGCGGGTGGGCGCAGCCTCCTGCAGCCACCGCTACCGGTTCACCAGAACTGGAGAGAACCGGCTGAATCCCACCTCTTGAGTTATACAATACAATACAATAGCAGAGTTGGAAGGGACCTTGGAGGTCTTCTAGTCCAACCCCCTGCCTAGGCAGGAAACCCTATACATGTTTCAGACAAATGGCTATCCAACATCTTCTTAAAGACTTCCAGTGTTGGGGCATTCACAACTTTTGGAAACAAGCTGTTCCATTGATTAATTCTCCTAACTGCTGGGAAATTTCTCCTTGGTTCTAAGTTGCTTCTCTCCTTGATTAGTTTCCACCCATTGTTTCTTGTTCTACTCTCAGGTGCTTTGGAGAATAGTTTGACTCCCTCTTCTTTGTGGCAACCCCCTGAGATATTGGAAGACTGCTATCATGTCTCCCCTAGTCCTTCTTTCTATTAAACTAGACATACCCTGTTCCTGCAACCGTTCTTCATCTGTTTTAGTCTCCAATCCCCTAATCCTCTTTGTTGCTCTTCTCTGCACTCTTTCTACAGTCTCCGCATCTTTTCTACATTGTTGGTAAAAAATCCACCCATCTTAAAGTTGCCAAGGTTGAGCTGCAATTTAGCAACATCTAGCCCAGTGTTTTTAAACCCTGGCAACTTTTAAGGTGCGTGGACTTCAACTCCCAGAATTCCCCAACCAGCCATGAGTGTCCACCCATCTTAAAGTTGCCAAGGTTGAGCTGCAATTTAGCAACATCTAGCCCAGTGTTTTTAAACCCTGGCAACTTTTAAGGTGCGTGGACTTCAACTCCCAGAATTCCCCAACCAGCCATGAGTGTCCACCCATCTTAAAGTTGCCAAGGTTGAGAAACACTG